TTTGTGTAGCCTTCATTTCAAATTGGTACTTTATTATGTCATCGATTTTCTCAGTTGTTTTTGTAATACTCTTACTAATATGCTTGAGCATCCTTATAAACAAAATTCTGAACTCTGTATCTGTTAGCTTGCTTGGATCTATTTCATTTAGTTCCTCTTCTAGAGAATTCTTCTGTTCTTTCTTTTGTGACATGTTTCTTTGCCTCCACATTTCGGCTGCTTCCTGGTGTTTAAGTGTATTAGGAAGAGCTATGTCTCCTGGAATTTGTAGAGTGGCTTTGTCTAGTAGGTGTCCTCCTGTAGGGTCCACTGGCTCAGCCTCCCCAGTGACCTGAGCTGGGCCTTCTAGGTGCTCCCCTGTGTGGGCTGTGTGCACTGTCCTGTTTTAGTTGAGCTTTGATTGCTGTTGGTGTCACTGGGAGGAACTGACCTCCAAGCCAATTAGCTGTGAGGACCAACTGCAACTATAGTCAAAGAGTTGCTGTGCTGGAGGCTCCCCTATTGAGCAGGATTTACTTCAGTGGAGCTTTGGTGTTCACTAAGTGCACCCCTTGAGTGTCACTCGTGGATGTGGTAGGGTTGTAATACAGCGTGGTCGAGTCTGGCCACCAGGTGCACTGTGTCTGGGGCCTCCTGGGAAGTGCAAAGTGGGCCTCTGCCAGCACCTTGCTCAGGGCCACCCAGCATGCGCTACACAGCAAACTAGTTGGCTGCTACCTGTGCTGGGCTTGGAGGTGTCCAAGAGAGTCCAAGCTATGAACCAATGCAGGCCGCCACTAGTGCCAGGCTTGGGGCCACTTATAACGACACATGGGGCACGCTGCTGCTTGAGAGATTTTAGGAAATCCTAAGCATAAGTCTCGAGAGGCCACTTGCACAGAAAAGCCACTGAAAATGGCTTCGATGAGCTTATTTATTGCCATTTTAATTCATTCTCTTTATTTCAACTTCTTAATACAGCAGTCCCTTTAACATTTCTTGCAGTGCTGGTTTGGTGGTGATAAATTCCTTTAGCCTTCTTTTTGTCTGGAAAACTCTTTATTTCACCATCTATTTTGAATGATAGCCTTGCTGGATGGAGTAGTCTTGGCTTCATATCCTTGCTTTGCATTACCTTGAATACTTCATGCCATTCCCTTCTGGCCTGTAGAGTTTCTGATGAGAAAGCTGACAGCCTTATGGGAGCTCCTTTGTAGGTAAGAGATTGCTTTTCTCTTGCTGCCTTTAAGATTTGCTTTGTCTTTAATTTTTGGCATTTTAATTATGATGTGTCTGGGTGTGGGCCTCTTTGGATTCTTTTTGCTTGGGACTCTCTGTGCCTCCTGAACTTGTGTGACTTTTTCCTTCATCAGGTTAGGGAAGCTTTCTGCCATTGTTTCCTCAAATACGGTCTCTATCCCTTGCTCACCTGTGCACTTTCTTCACCCTCTGGTATTACCATGACATGAATATTGTTACATTTCATGTTATCCCACAGCTCCCTTAAACTGTTGTCCTGTTTTTTTCTTTTTGGTTCTCTGAGTTAGTTTTTCTACCTTATCTTCTAATTTGTTGATCCAATTCTCAGCTTCCCCTAATCTGCTGTTTAGTTCTTTCAATGTTTTTTTTTAAAATTATGTCATTCTTAATTTCCTTCATAGTTCCCATTTCTTTTCCCATGCTGTTGAGCATTGTTACAATCAGTATTCTGAACTCTGTATCTGATGGATTGCGTATCTCCATTTCATTTAGCTCTTCTTCTGGAGAATTCTTTCTGTCTTTCATTTGGGGCTTGTCTCCCCATTTTCGCTGCGTGTTTGGATTTGTTTCTATGTATTAAGTATATCTGTTAGGACTCCCAGTCTTTTGACGGTCTCTGGTGCAAGTCAATGTCAGACGCTGATTGTGACTGACCTTGACTACCCTGTTTGAAGTTTTCTGCACTCCACAGCTTGTGGTTTTCTCTGCTGGGGCTGGGTGTGTTTTGACAGGACTAAGATGTGCACCAAGATTTGGTTTTTCAAACCCTGGGTCCAGAAGCAAATCAGGCAGACTCAAAGCACCCAAAGGCTGTTATTTAGTTTCTTAATGAGCCTAAGGCTGTA